TTCAGCCGACTTATAAAATTTAACATAAATTGATTATAAATTCATGTGCCTTCGAGTTGACAATAAACTGCTTTTAGTAACTTACTGGAAAATGATGGCAGAATTCTTATGCGTCCTACGCCAAATTGATGAGGGGCATGAAGAAGGAGTATGGGAAGCAAAGCCATTGCATATGCGGATGATCTGGTGGTTACAGTAAACGGCAAACTTCCACAAGCCTTATGTGACAGCAAGCCATACGGACTAAGATGATTAGGAAAGTGGGCTAAAAAATGCTGTCTTAGGCCTTACGCCGCAAAGGACAGAGCTTGTAAAAAATTTGAATTCAATTTTTTTTTGGGATTCGTATAGGCAAAAATGTTTATACTAATTAGTTTTTGTTGTTGTTGTTGTTGTTGTAGCGGTTCGCTAACCCCGCTTAGACACAGGTTCGATCAGTCTAAGTCGTCGAGGTCATCTAATGGTAGGTCCAGGAAACGAGCTGTTTCGTCGGTATTGGACCAGAGGGAGAGGGAGGTTAGATGAGTTGGTTTGAGAGGGCATGTGAAGAGGTGGTTAGTGTCGTGCGGAGACTCTCCACATGCAGGGCATACGTTAGGTATGCTGTGGTCTAGTCTGGATAAGTAGGAGTTTAACCTGCTACAATATCCAGACCTAAGTTGTGTCGGGGTCACGCGGGTCTCTCGAGGCAGCTCGAGCTCGTTAACTGCTATAGGTGGTGATTCACTTTAAAGGAGCCCTTGAAGGTGTTGACTGACTCCTTACCTTACTAATCTAGTTGGAATATCAAAAAGATGAAAAAAATAAACCATTTTGAGGATCAATTCAAGCTTCAAAAAAGTGAAAAATGTTGCCAAAGAGTCTTAATTTCATAAAGAAACGACGCGACCATTTCACCAAAAATCCCATATCACTCCGCAACCAAGGTATATCCTGGGTTTATGGTTTGGCTATTTACACTCGGAGTTCTAAAGGCGATAACTGACAGCGACTTTTTTTAAGGGACTAAGGGAAATTTTTGGCAAAAGTGCTACATATGGAAAGGGGATTAATATGAAGGGGACGAAAGCGCTGTGGTGGTAAATTTGGCCTGGAAGCCGAAGAACATTCTAACGAGCCAAAAAAGTTTGAAGATGAAGAACCTAACGCATTACTTGATGAAGATTGTTACCAAACATAAGAAGAGTTCGCAGAATATTTGTGAATCACTGAAGCCATTTCAAGAGATTTAAAAGCAGCCAGGCACATTCGAAACCCAGGAAATCGGTGTCATATGAATTGAAGACAATAAGTTTTTCTTAAAAATAAACTACGAAATAAGTTACATACATATGCACATATTCGTATATACCTACACCTGAAATTCATTCCACGTTTGTAACTCCGTCTAATGTTCGCATCAAAACCCGAACAATGGTCGGCTATTAACAAATTAATAGCGCGACATCAGTTGACCCCACAGCACATTACAGAGCAGTATTCCAGTGAATCAAATGAACCACACATGTTTCTAGAATAAGTATAATTTGCTCTAAGATCTGAAAGAAAAAAACATCCGCTTGTTTCGATTATCATTAGGTCCGGTTGCCTATTTCGAAACGAAAGCGATTCTAGCCTTCAGAGATAACAATATGAAAAAATATAATATGTAAACAATAAAAAAGCGCAATACATTAGTTTTGAAAATATTTATATACATATGTATGTATGTGAACATTGTGAAATTTTCAAATATATAATATTACAAGCAGTCTTTGACGTGGGCAATATGCAGCTTTGGTCTAACGAAATGTCGTTCATTCTTTGCATATGAAAGAGCTATGTACATACAGTGGCTCAAATATGAACTCGGACACGATTTTAAACAAAAAATATATAATAAAATGCAAATGGTTTTCTGTTTAACAGATATTTCTATTCTTCAAGTGTATTTTTCAAAACAGCCAAAACCATAAACTAAATTCAACTCGGTCGTATACAAATAATATGAACATAACAACTTAACAAAACTGATGAGAAAAAAGAACTCGGACATGTACATAACATAGAATTTAAACATATTATATAAAGAGAAATAAAATATTCTTAATATTTGGTCGGCAAGCTGTTACTTTTTCTGATAGCATTCAGCGTCTTGGCAAAGATTCAACTAGCTTTTTGCATGTTAAAAAATTTATTTTCCCCCACTCTTCCGAAATAGCGGCTTCTAGGTCTTTCTTATTTCTAATAACATGCATTTTCAGTTTATTTTCCAAATGAGTCCACAGATGTTCAATTTCGTTAATGTCAGGATATTGAGGAGGTATTCCAAGCACTTTAGGATAGTTATACATCAGCCATAGACGGACATCAAGTGCTTTATGCTTGGGATCGTTGTCTTGGTAGTACTGGAAATTGTCTTTAATTCCCAACTTTTCAGTACTTTGCACTAGATTTTCTTTTAAAATGGTCAGATATTGCTTGTGGTCCATATTACCATTTATGAAACACAAATTTCCAGTACCAGCTGCGGATATACAACCCCATACCATTACTGAGCCGCCACCGTGTTTAACATTCGGAGGTAAATTGTTTTCTAGCAACTCGTCATTCGGTTTTCTCCATCTGACCTAAATACAATATATTAAATTTGCTTTCATCTGCAAATAAAACTTGTTTCCAGTATTGAAAATCCCTATCCCCATGACATTTTGCACATTTTATCCTTATGCTTCGGTTAACTTCGTTATAATTATTTTTTTCGTATACTCTCCGGAATACAATTTATATTGAGATGTTGCAAAACTTCTGTTGAGAGATCGGGAGCGCTAATGTTTGGATTTTTTTTTGATTTGCTGCACTAGCCACCCCTCATCTGCAGCCGGAAACAAATTCGGTCGTCCAGACTTCTTTTTGTTTTCCTCGGATTTTGTTTGTTTGAATCGTTTAAGCACGTCATGCACAGTCGAACGGGGTGTGCTAAGCTACTACGTTGGATTATATGTATTGTAAGTATTTTTAAACGAAAACAAACTAATTGTGGGATTCCCCTTTTTAAAATGCCACGCAACTGTAATATTACCAGATGTCTGACTTCTTTTTTGGCGAAATTTCTAGCATGCCACATGTTCATTTTTTGAAACAAGGGTAAAGGAGACCTGTAAACAATTTAATTTGCTTGTAATCGGTATTTTTTAAATCCTTATTGGATACCCTATAGAAACATAAAAGACAAAAATGCTTAAAATCAATTGGTTAAAAAAGATCTAGCTTGAAGTTGCATGTTAATAACAGTGGAACGTATGTCCGAGTACTTTATTGAGCCACTGTATGTGCATATGTACGAGTATATGTAAACTTTATTCACATTAAGCTTATTAAAGTTGTAAAGAAGATTAGATAAGAAAGTCTCCTAGAGTGGTAATATAGCACCCTTTATAAGTAGTGTACTTTTTTAGTGGCTTCCTTTTTGGCAACACTGTTCTTGACAACTCACGCGGGTTGCTTTTGTTAAATGGGAGCTGACAAAGTCTGATGTAGATCCACTTTTATTTTATCAAAAAAGTTGTGTTCAGCACCGTAACAACAGAACCGTCAACAGAACAGTAAGTATTGGAGAAACTACCAATGCATTGCGAAATCGCCACTGGTGTGGATTATAGGTCGGCGGTATAGACGACGAAGGCCGAAATGTTCCTGTAAAAGCCAAGCGCTACATTGCGAGGATTACATTTTTTTTTTTTGCCTAAACGGTAGAGCTATACTTAGCAGACGTATTGGATGAGTGCATAGGTTCGTGCCCGATTTCAAGTGCAAACTAAAATTGAAATTTTTTGAAGAAAGCGCTTTTATTAATCAATTATGTATTCGCCATCATGTTCGGCAATCCACTCCCAACGTTCAACCAATTTACGGATGCCTGATTCATAGAAATCGCGCGGTTTCTCGTTGAAAAAGGTGTCAAGGTGGTTTTTGACGTCTTCCACATTTTTAAATTTTTTTCCATTCAAATTGTTCTGCAGCGATCGAAACAAATGATAATCAGAAGGTGCAATGTCGGGTGAATATGGGGGATGCGGCATGATTTCCCAATTCATCTCCTTCAGTTTGGCCAGGGTCGGTTTTGCAACATGTGGCCTGGCGTTGTCATGATGGAAAAGAACTCCTTTGCGATTGGCCAAAATCGGACGTTTTTCATCAATTGCTTTCTTCAATTCGACCAATTGCTGACAATACTTGTTGGCAGTGATCGTTTCTCCAGCTGGCAAGAGCTCAAAATAGATCACGCCTCGGATATCCCACCAAATGCACAGCAGTACCTTCATCGGATGCAATCCACCTTTCGACATCGGTTCCGCCCCTTCGTGTGCCTGTTTCCATGTTCTTTTGCGTTGAACATTGTTGTACAGGATCCATTTTTCATCACCACTCACGAGCCGATCCAGCACATTCTACGCAGAACGTGAAAAAATTTCCCATTTCAGAGACGTGTTAAGTGCGCTCTTTATTCTACATTCATGGCCGCCTAGCTCGCGTGATGTAAAGCCTTAAGACAATTTTCGGTGTTTACTATGTTAAGATTGATTCAAGCCTCATGCCCTGGAAGCCCATATTGATGAATTTGTTCCTCAGGTGCCCAATCGAAAAATTGATTCACCACCATAGAGATTTATTTGGTCTTCGTGGATGGGCACCAAACCATACAGAGGAGGATCTGTCACGCATCGTAGAGGGTAAGGTAGTTTCAATTTGAAGTTTTTGACACATCTTGTCACTTATATGATATTGAATTTAGAGATTTTTAATTAGGTATGGGGTTATCTTCTAAAAAGTTGTTATAAAATTGAATTCACTATGAATACATTAAAATATTTATTTTCAGCGGCCGAAGTAATAATAAAAATTGCTAGCAAATTTTTATTTCAAATAAATTGGAACGCGTTGACATTTTTTACATTTTGTTGAAACTTAGATTTCTTAGATTTTCTCGACCGTATGGGAAAGGTTCTGGGTTTGGTTACCTGCGAGTGAGCTGGCCGTAGAGAGAACAGTCATAGCCCCGGTAAACTCTGCACGTGATGTGGGCTGGGAATACCTCTTTCCTTGGCAAAGTATCTGTTAAGACCATTGTAGAAACCTACAAATAACAAAACTCATATTTTTAACGCATACAAGCTCACTTTTTCACGCACATATTCAATTGAATGCTGTGTGGAGGAAAGAAATTGCAATAAGAATATAATGGAATGAAAAAGCGAATTTGAGGATAGGCACCAACCGCAGGCACGAACCGCGGGTTGCCTAGGTAGATTTTTTGTTACGTTTCTCTGAACTTCCAGCAAAACCGTTAGTATTTAGTTTGGCGTATTGCCGTGCCAATTTTCGAACTTTTCATTTAACTCGCTTGAAGGTGGATAATAATAATGTAATGGAAATACAATTTTTATTATTAATGAGGGGTTAATTTATTTTAAAATTTTATTATTTTTAAAATTTAAGACAAGTATTAAATTCTCACTTTTAAAGACGAAAAATTTTAAATTTTGAAAAAGTGATGAAATTATTAATATTAGTTTCTGTTTCAGAATATTTTAATTACCGCTCATAAATATAGTTAAAAGTTCAAATGACTCTTATATATATGCTACTAACGGCAAACTTAAGTACTATTCTGAAATGAATGTTATATTTATTACATCCCTGGGTGCAAAAGTGGAGTGTTTCGATATGGTGATCTCAGCTGTTTTTTGACCCGATGATAGTTTTTCTACTTCTAGGACAATGCAATGGTTATAATTAATGCTGTAACTACCCATCTTACATACCTTCCGTCCCTAGCAACCTCTCTTATGAGAGTGCCATATAAACACAAAGTTGTCTTCGCTTGCCCATGTCGTTACTGACGTTTGTCCCACAGAAACAAACGGCGATTTGATTTTTCCCGTAAAATCGGCTCGGCTCATTTCTCGTTGCTATACAAGGTTGCCAGTATGGGCTTTTTTAAATTAATATTAAATAATCGAAGAAAATGTGTAGTTTTTTTTTAAAAGAAGTTAAAACTAAATTCGAAACTAATTATTTGTTAGCATATAGATCATGTATATTTCCTTGACGTTTATATTCGAACAAATAAATTATAAAATTTGTTGACGAAAATTATAAATTTGTTCAAACTGGCAGCTGGCAACATTTCGTCGCTCTCAGTAGCGTCGATAACTCGTATATGTATCTCGCTCTTTCAATCGACTGTTATGGACGGTTGGTAAGTAAAATGAGTAGTTGCAGCATAACTCTCACCAGAAAAGCCATCAGCAGTTGGTAGAGTGAAACCACATGCAATTAATCGAAGTGAACAGAACTACAGTCTTTATTCTATTGGGTTGCCCAAAAAGTAATTGCGGATTTTTCATAAAGTCGGCGTTGACAAATTTTTTCAACGGCTTGTGAGTCTCTAATTGCATTCTTTCTTTTGTCAGTTATCAGCTGTTCCTTTTAGCTTGCGCGAAATTTTGTTTACATTTGTTTGTTTGGCGTCAATTTTAATATGGAGCCCACAAAGGAGCATTTTCGTCATATTCTTTATTATTTCCGTAAAGGAAAAAACGCGGAGCAGGTTGCTAAAAAGTTAAGAGATGTGTATGGTGATGAAGACTTTAGAGGAAGACAGTGTCAAAATTGGTTTCTCAAATTCCGTTCTGCAGATTTTTCACTCAAAGATGAGCCACGTTCAGGTCGGCCAAATGAAGTTGATGATGACCAAATCAAAGCATTAATCCAATTGGATCGTCATGTAACTGAGCGTGAGATAGGAGAGAAGTTAAATATACCAAAATCAACCGTTCATTATCACATAAAAAGTCTTGGACTGGTGAAAAAGCTTGATATTTGGGTACCACATGTATTGAAAGAAATTCATTTAACACACCGAATCAACGCTTGTGATATGCACCTTAAACGCAATGAATTCGATCCGTTTTTAAAACGAATCATAACTGGAGATGAAAAATGGATTGTTTACAACAACGTTAGTCGAAAACGATCATGGTCCAAGCATGGTGAACCAGCTCAAACCACTTCAAAGGCTGATATCCACCAAAAGAAGGTTATGCTGTCTGTTTGGTGGGATTGGAAGGGTGTCGTATATTTTGAGCTGCTTCCAAGGAACCAAACGATTAATTCGGATGTTTACTGTCAACAATTGGACAAATTGAATACAGCCATCAAGGAGAAGCGACCAGAATTGGTCAATCGTAAAGGTGTCATATTCCACCAGGACAACGCTAGACCGCACACATCTTTGGTCACTCGCCAAAAACTGAGTGAGCTTGGCTGGGAACTTTTGATGCATCCACCATATAGCCCTGACCTTGCACCATCAGACTACCATTTATTTCGATCTTTGCAGAACTCCTTAAATGGTAAAACTTTCGGCAATGATGAGGCTATAAAATCGCACTTGGTTCAGTTTTTTGCAGATAAAGGCCAGAAGTTCTATGAGCGTGGAATACTAAATTTGCCAGGAAGATGGCAAAAGGTTATCGAACAAAATGGCAATTATATATTTGATTAAAGTTCATTCTAAGTTTTATTAAAAATGCATTTACTTTCTTTTAAAAAATCCGCAATTACTTTTTGGGCAACCCAATATATGCTTAACAAGAAGAGAGAATGAAACTACATTTAAATTATTGAGGCATGAGGGAAACCATTTTGAAATTAAAAAAACATCGTTCGCTCTTACAACCACTTTAATTTACTTAGTGGTTCTTAAGGCATTTTTTGCACAATGTCAAAGGCAACCATATTCTTTTTATATTATTATTTCTATTCTAATGCTTACACAGCTGATTTACATATTAGACTGTTTGTGTATATTTACATATATACATATGTTATACAATTACCTAATATGTTTGCTCTTCACTCATAGTCATCCACATTCGTTTTTTTTTGGTTCATTTCTATTAAATAATGCGAGCAGTCACAATGAACTCATTTCTTTTGGCCAAGATTTTTAAGACGATTACAAATACTATAGCATACTTTAAAAATAAAAACACAATTGTGTCAATTCGTCACATGCCGACCTTAATACAATACAATCAAGACGTAAAAGGAAAATATTGCCAAAAGAAGAATTGGAAAAAAAAAAATCGCCAAAAATAATGTTAGCACATCAAAATTCGTGAATTGAGCGCTAAAACGTGAAAAAAGTCAATAAATTAAGATACACAATGAAATGTGCACATACATGCAATACTCATATATAAGTATATAGTTATATATTTACAATTTATATAAGTGAATACTTTAGTATTTTGAGTTTGAGTTAGCAACGTCAGCAGATTTAATTAGTTGAAGCACTTGGTTAAAGCGCTTGAACTCATAAATATATTATATACATATATGTACATACATAGATATATACACTGCTCAGGTGTTAGTTGGTAGCGGTTGGGAGTTCACTTGTGCTTTTGCCATCTTAATGTTATTTTTTTTTTTTTTTTATTAATTTTTCGCACTTTGGCTGAATCAGCATATCAACGCTCAAAAACTATACCATGAAAGAGTACCGTTTAAAAAATGCTTGCAGAAAATAGCTCAAAACTGGTTTTTGAGTAGAAAGCAACTGTGTTCTTAAAGCATATTTTTGTTTACCCGCAACCGGAGGTAGAAGAAAATAGACTCGTTCTAGAATCAAACAATTTTCAAGCGCTTAAGTGCAAAGAGAACAATTTTGTATTTTTAATTTTGTATTTGTAATTTGGTATTTTTATTTTTGTATTTTTATTTTGTTTTTATTTTTTATTTTTTTACTTGTATAAGGTAGTTGCAAAGCAAACAAACCCAAATGTAATGAGAACAAATAGTTAATTTAAAAAAAAAAACGATGATTTTTCTAACGGTAAAATAAATCAATTTCACGTGAATTCTTCAAAAATGATGCCGGTGAGAACGTAAACGGTCATACTAACCTGTGAGCAGATAATTTTACGTGTTATATCACACCGTTAGAATATTTCCTTTGGGAATATGTAAGATCTTAAGTCTATGCGGGCAACCTCGCTTCGATTCAGCCCTTAGAGGAAACCATTAAGCGAGTAATTCGCTACTTGCTACTCAAAATGCTCGAACGATTAATCGAAAATTGGACTCAAAGGATGGACTAACTGAGACATAACCGCAGCCAACATTTGAAAAAGAGAATCTTCAAAAAATATTGTAAATGCAAAAATGTTCTTTCGAATGATTATAAACATGCCCCATTACATTTGAATTTTCTGTGCTTTTTTTTCATTAAAAAAAGTAGAGGCCCTCGAAATAGATCACCCTTTAAACACTAATTCTAGAATTTGTTAATAATCATTTAGTTATAACGCCTATTGGTCATCCTATATTCATATTTAATGTAAAAATATTGTAGAAACTAGGTCATGTGAAGCACCCTGTTCTTTCTTGTTCTTTACCTGGAGGCAACCGAAGTGATCTGACGTATTCTAAACTAAAAAAAATACAAGTTTATTTTGTTTTTTTTTTTTAGTTATTTGTTATTTGTTTATTGAGGTGGATTACTTTATCTCACATTTTTTTTTTGTTGTTGGCTTTATTTACTCTAATTTTCGTGGCATGAGTCTGTTGTAAGCACAATTTTCTGCTCTGACTTTTTTGGTAGAGCAAGGACCACTCCGAGCGGTTTGATACCAAACGAGGTTTCAGACAGATTGATTCTTTTTCGTGCAACTTCTTTAATTTATTGCTGCACAAAATATTAAGGGCAGTAGAGCTGAATAGGGAAGGTACAATCTTCTATAAGGGTGCACAGCTGTAGGCGTACACCGCTGATATTGACATTATCGGCCTCAGCAACCGCGCCGTTATTTCTGCTTTCTCCAGGCTTGATAAAGAAGTGAAGCGAATGGGTCTGGTAGTGAACGAGGACAAGACGAAATATCTCCTGTCATCAAACAAACAGTAATCGCATTCGCGACTTGGCTCCCACGTCACTGTTGACAGTCATAACTTTGAAGTCAAAGATAATTTCGTCTATCTAGGAACCAACATCAACACTAACAATAAAATCAGCCTTGAAACGCAGAATGTCAACAGGTGTTACTTTAGACTGAGTAGGCAATTGAA